GTTGGGGTCAAAGCGAGGATTAAGAGCTCACAGGGTTTGTGGTTTAAACACTCAGAGGCAAATATTGCCCCCTGCAACACAAGCAGTTCTCTCATATCTATTACAAATGGATGGCCAGAGAAGTGGAGGCATTATCTCTTGCTTCACCTCCTCCGGATAATGAAAGCCCATCATCCTCGTCTTCTAGCAGGATGCCAGGGGCTACTGAGAGCGGGCAGACTGAGAGAGTGCAGTTACCCAAGATACATAGAGCTGAAATGAGATCCATTGAGCACCCAGACAGGGAGCTGATTAAGACATGCCGACGCCACCAGACAGAGCGCACACACACACAGACATGCACTCTAAAACACACGTTGAACTACACGCACAAAATCAATGCAGTGAAAGGAAGGGGAGCTTCTTCAGAACCCTCATGTTCAAATTACTCATCTGGTCCAGAGGCATGAATCTCTTTTTCCCCTGAAAACATTCAGAGTTTTTTTCTCTTTTAAAGGGCAGCAGACTCAAACCATTTCATGCGACAAAAAAAATTGAGTTCTTTCTGACAAGTGTAAGAGGTGCATTAGTTTTAAATAGATATACTACCATTCAAAAGTTTCCGGCCTAAGATTTTATAGTCTCCTCTCGTGCTCACCAATGCTGCGTTTAGTTGATCAATAAAATTCAGTAAAACAGTACTATTATTACAATTTAAAATAAATATTTTCTATTTTTATTTATTTTAAAATGCAATTTATTCTTCAGTGTCACATGATCCTTCAGAAATCACTCTAATATGCTGATTAGGTGCTCTGCTCAATACACATTTCTTATTGGTATGAATGTTGAAAAAAGATGTGCAGCTTAATATTTTTTATGAAAACAAATAAATTTTTTCAGGATTCTTTGATGAATAGAAATTTCAAAAGAACAGCATTTATTTAAAATTTTAATCGTTTGTAATAGAAATGTATTTTCACTCGAAAATGAAAATTCTTAAAAAGTCACATTGCTTTTACAGTTTTTAATGGAACTTTTTGGAACTTGATGGTTGAGTTGCGTAACGATACTTCAACAATGTCTGATGGAAATATAATGCTATACGGGTTTGGAATGACATGAATGCACTAAGCAATAATAGAATTATACCTTTAAGCTTATTACAATACAAAATAAAAATAAAATAAAGCTGCAAGATAATGATTTTAGTACTAAGGGAAAAAAGTCAATTAAATTTACTATTTCTAAACATGCACTATAATGTAGGTCAAACAAAGGTCTGTCTCTCAATGTAATCAGTACTGCCCGCCGGCCATTCAGGTCATTAGCAAGGTCATTAATGAAGTGGAGACCAGCTTCAGTCGGCTGTGACCAAGGACTCAACCCCAGCAGCCGGCCTCCCCAGACACATATAATCGCACGCACACACACTCCACATGAACCCACATATCTTTCTTTGCTACACTTTCTATTCTCTGATCTTATATACAAGCACACACATGCAAAATATGGCTTAATGTGCTCCCTTTCATTTCCATAACAGCATTCTCAAAGCACCTGGAGCCCTCCTGCGATACAGGCTTTAAATGTCTGCTCCTTCCTGCCTTCACAGCACAAGTTCATAGACTCTGAGGTTCAGAATATCTATTTTATAATTGTATGTGTTAATAAACATCTAAAAATAAAAAATGTACTAGATTTAAAAATTTGCATTAATTCGCATAATTCTCACCCTCAGACCAACCAAGATGTAGATGAGTTTGTTTCTTCGTCATAACAGATTTGGAGAAATTTAGCATTACATCAACCTCACCAGAGGATCCTCTGCAGTGAATGGGTGCCGTCAGAATGAGAGTCCACACAGTTGATAAAAACATCACCATAATCCCCGTGACTTCAGTCCATCAATTAATGCAGTGAAAAAGTTAATCCCCTGTTGTCCTGTCACATCAAAATCCACTGTATTTATTTAGAACTGTTCTGGACGGTTTCTGCTTCTAAATGCTTGATCGGTGCATATTTCTCTCCTGATTCAGACAAGACAAATTTTCATTGAAGAAAGACTTACAAACACACCGCTTTTCATTTCACAAGACATTAATTGATGGACTGGAGTCGTGTGGATTACTTTTGAATTATTGTGATGTTTTTATTAGCAGTTTGGACTCTCATTTTGACAGCACCCATTCAGTGCAGAGGATCCATTGGTGAGCAAGTGATGAAATGAGTGATACATTTCTCCATATCTGTTCCGTTGAAGAAACTCATAAACATCCTGGATGACCTGAGGGTGAGTAAATTTTCACTTTGGGTGACCTATTCCTTTAACTCACTTTTTCCACTTTGCAGCTGTTGTTATGAGAAGTGGAACAAATGAATGGTAATTTTTTGTAAGCAAGTGAGTCACTCATAAAATGTAAGTTTGAATGGGTTATTGTGCCATTCCTGAAGAGTTTTTCACCAAACGTAAATGTGGGAGAGCAGGGCGTTAATGCTTCAGTCTGGTCTGTGTGTGAAGGGAAAAGAAAAATGTGCGAGAGAATGAAAGATGATGAAAGCGACGCACCCTGCCTCACGGCTGTCTGCCTAGCTCACAGTGCCCATATCACATTGCTGTTGTTTTCTCAAACAGGCCTGCGAGAAGCGTCACACAGACATCTAGAAGCTTGAAGACTCATGACAAGCCAGTTTATCAAAAACAAACAAAAAACTGCATGCTTACTGAGAAACTAGGCAGTCAAACTGCAAGTCCAGAGCCTTGAAACATCGAATCGCCTAAGACTGCTTGGTTTCAGCAGCACCTCGATGGAATAATTACCATAACATGGTTGGAGTCGCCAATCTGTTTCATTTCCACTAGTCTGTGTCCAACTACTGGCAGCTGTGCAAACCCATCACTGGCAGCCCAAAAACGCCTCTCGCGCTACAATCCGCTCACTGTAGAGTCTGACATTGAGCTGACCCAGTCAGACGTATATTACAGGTGGGATCTGTCTGTTTAGCATTTCCTATCAAGTTCTATTAGAGCATTTGGCAGCATTTTGAGCAACACAACCATTTGCGAACAGTGGGAGCGATGCTTCTCGGAAAAAGATGAGTCACCAATTAGAGATCACAGATTGCTGAACTTTCTCAAATCGTCGATGAAAATGGCCCCCGCTGTGTTACATTTCATTACACAGTCTTAAGTGATGTCTGGAGCACAGCAAGTTTAAATGGGGAAAATGTCATTTCAAATTTTACAGACCAAAAAATCCACACTTATTAGTATTCTAGTTGATCACACTACAAAAACGTGGCCCAGTTTATATTATAAATATATTTTGTTGACTTCTATATCATCTGAACAGCATCACACTGATTTGCAGTTTTGTCCTTCCAGAAAATCTCACTAGTGTTTCCAAGCATAAACTGTTATTGTGCTGTGCCGTGCGACCACAGACATGTTTATTTGTGCTGTGGATGTTACCACCATCAGTTTGGCCATACAAAAGAAAGGCAGACTCCCTTGACAGGCCACTGAATAGGGCTCATTGCCCACATTTCCATTACAAAGGACCAGACTCCAAATCTGACTTGAGTCTGAACTTGCTGAATGACCAGCTTCCCATCAAACTCTACAACAAATATGTACTTGCCAGGGGTTATAAAACACAACATTGGTTTTCTAGAACCAGTAAAATATGAGAATAAATTAAGAAATTTGCAATATTTTATGCCTTATGGCTTGGCAATAGCAATGGGGTCAATGAGGACTTTTTTCATCAGTCGAAATACACAATGCTGATTAATGTTAAGAAACACCACCAGACTGTTTTGTAAACAGGGTATACCACAGCAAACTATGTACTGTCAACCATATTTATGATATAATCTACCATGTAGCTACAAACAAGGCTGGTCATTTTTAAATGAATCACTGGAATTCATGTTGAGTTACATGTCACAACTAGTAATGGGAAGTTATTTCTGTGAATCGGTTCTTTCGAACATTTTTCTGAACTTAAAAGGTCTTTGTTATTAAATCTGTATAAAAAGAAAAATCATAGAAACATGTCAGTCATCAACAATGAATGGAAGTAAAGCATCAAAGTAAAAATATATCCAAGGATTTAACAACACCTTATATAATATCAGTTTTAAACATTTTTATTTACATTATTTTTATTACTTGAAGTAAAAAATACAATTAAAAAAAATCAGCAAGAAAATCGAATACAAAAACGAATCTGTGATTAATTTAGGTCATGACGAATGGCTTTGTTAGGAACATTTTTCTAAATCGAATACCTATCATTTTACGTCATGACCTATTTACGTCACCATGTGGTTCCTGACACTCTATTATGGTATTACCTGCTGCACAAACATTCTGCTAGTTTTTCTTTTATGAATCGACCATATCCGAAAGAGATGGTTGGTGAGTTTGGAGCTCGAAAAGCGGTCCTGTTCGCGAACAAATCCTTCAGACCGGTAGTGTGAATGTGAACCGATTCAACCGATTAATCGAAAAGATTCGAATCAGAAGCGCGATTAATTTACGAATAGGGGGACATGGCTCGTCACAACGTGCAAACCGCCGGGGAAGGTTGGCGTTGCAAGTTTATTAATGTAAGTTTTGCAACATCTGACGTAAAGAGGGAAAAATGTAACGTTATATATAGCCAAATACATTAAACAATAATGTATTTGGCTAATGTTTTATTAAAAAGGGACAACGAGCAACGCGGTTAAATCCTACCCTAATAGACGAACCTCAGAAATGATACATACAAACATCAATTAGGTGCCGCGAATGAAGCGCAATTCAAAATACAGCACTAGTTATATATGAATAAGAAATGATTTACGGTACAGATGACTGGTTTACAAACCCCAGACAGCGCCATGATGAGCGCCAGGCTGCCCTGTCCAGCACAACACAGCACAGCCTGGCCACACTCTCTCTCCACACACCAGCAGCCTATCAAATAAATACACACAGAGAGAGGTGACACACACACAAACACCCGACTCACCATCGCCGACCGCTATTAATCCACACAGAGCGAGCAGCGCTACAGCAGTTCGTCGTGGAAGCATGACTGCAACATTCCCATCTCTTAGCATTAATGCATTCGTTGTGTGTGATATTGACAAGCGAGCGAGACTTCCAACACAACCACAAACCAACCAACCATACACACACCGCCTGCCAGGCTCGGCTAGACAATAGTGGGTTAAAGGGGTGTGACTAGTTTTAAAGGGGAGGGCTCCTCGCTTGGGCTCCTTTGTTGTGGTGAAATGTCTCTTTACAAGGACTCATTTGTGAATTGGCCCGATGGTCCTGTCTGTAGTTGAGGTCTCATCAGGTTTGTTTTTATTTATTCTGTGTCATATGTTCCAGAAATGTATCTTGTGGCTTTAACATGGACGAATTAAGACAAGTAACACTGCCAATAAGGTTTTATGAATATAAATAATATTAGAATAAAAAAAATGTAATATAATGTAAACAATTTTGAAGTCATTTCAGTAAACGATTGATTGAGAATATAGTTTAAACTGCCATAACTGTGAGTGATATCACATTTATTAAACACAGGAACTTTCTTTTCTTATTTGTTAAACTGTATTTAAAAATGTAATAAAAATATTTAAATTAAATGTAAAAAGTGTTGCAATTGGAAGAAAATTAAAATGATTTTTAAAAACTAGAATGTTATGCCTCATGTTTCAAGAATCAGTGATGAGTTAATCATAAATCATAAAATGTGCTGTACACACACATTCATTATTACAGAATAGTTTGTTTAATGAGAGAACATTTTTTATTTTTTAATGAGAACATTTTAAGGCATGACGTGTATGAAAGCAGTGACACATTTGCAGCTTTTGGATCACGTCTTAGTAGTGATCCAGCAGGAGGTGTTCATTAGTCTCCAGAGTATCAGCATTAATAATTTGACTCCGGAGCCAAAGTTACCTTTTTGAGCTGGACCCACATTGTGCGATGTGTGTGATCCAAAGGGGCTTACAGAACCCCTGTGAGCAACACGAAAAGCATTCAGGACTCCCACAAAAACCACAGCATGGGTTAAGTGTAAGAGACCTCAGACCCTCATAACAAATCACTGATTACAAAAAAATAAGTTCTTGACTTCATCTAGTATGAAAAAGGAAACTGCGTCTTTAGGGAAACAAGTCAAACATATTCCTATAGGAGCGCTCTGGCTTCTGCCAGGACCTCAGGATGTTTACTTCCTCTAAATAGCAGGGCAGAGGAGAACTTGTGATTTTAATTTTGAGGAATAAAGAGACATTTGATGCACTCAGTATTTGTCCTCTTAATGGCCGCATGACACGAGGAGACTCTCGGTTAGTGCATTAAGCCGTATGGGTACATAAAGAATGATGTACAAGACCTAATCTAATTACACTGAAATTCCTTTCAAGTCACTCTCAACGCAAAGGTCAAACACAAAGCGTTTAGAGCTGCGGCCTGCCATCTTAAACCTCTATTGTTACCATTAACCTCTTTGCCTTTGCTAGACTGCATACTAATCTGGTCCCTGGCTGTCTATTGTCTATAAAGTAGGGTCATATCTTTCAATTACCAATCCACATATTTCAGCAGGGCGTTCATATCCGAGTTTTCCAAACAAAGGCATGTGGAATGGGTCCAGCTGATAGAAGGACCTACCAGAGCAGGGCATTGATACTCTACTCAGCCACTGTGCGCTTGTTAAAAATAACCCTCTCTCTGTCTGACCGGACAGGCAGAGTTGGGGTATTATCTCCAGCAAAGCCCCCTCTCTGTGCTTCTCCACAGATGGATATAGCAAGGGTGCAGATATAGATAAACAGGCAGACAGAAATCAATGCCCATCCTCTCACTCCGCCATGCAGTCTGACAGCAAGACAAACGCGACATGCTGAAGGGAAACTTTGGCTCAGGAAAAAACCCCAGAGATAAACATCTTATAAATATCCATCAGTCAGTGGAACATCTGCTCTTTTGGCCTTCTCTGCGTGTCGGTGTGCGTAGGAAGGGATTTATACTGGAAAGTTTCTATGAATAAGATACGTGAGATATCTACTTGCACTGGGTAAATATAGGTCTGTCTGAAACATGATAGTGAAGGATGCATTCAGTATTGTATCCGTGAAATGTTGTTCAACAACACCGAGGTGTGTCTTGGTAGTTCCCGAGGGGTATCGGGTCTTTTAGTGTCTCTCATGCCGAACAACAATTCTATAACAATTGCGAGATTGCGTGGCTTGTAAAACAGGATACACATTGTCTATGGTTTATAAGAAATGGATTGAGGCAAAAGGAAATATATTCCTTATATCTCCTTAAGGACTTCTGAAGTGATGATGTATTCATTAACCAGATCAGGCTGTGGCAGTTTGCTGTGTTGAGAGAAAAGGCTACAATAACCCAATGTAACACTTTGGGGGAGAAAAGAGCAATTAATGATGCCCTCTAGTGGACAAAACTACATGTTAATGTTCAATGACATTTAAGTGAATTTAGCTTCTTGTAATTATTTGTTTATTTATACACATTATCATGTATATATTTATACACTTTATCATTATTTTATTGTTTCCCCCATGAAAATTAGTTTGAGATCCAATAATTTTTTTGTTGAAGACCCTTTTGTTGCAGAGAAAATTTCAAAGTCAGCTTCAGTATCCTGAAATTTATTAATATTTAAATACTATTATTTGGAGTGAAAATAACAATAGACATTTTGTGCAAAAGAACTTGTATACACATTTTTGATGATTATTTTTTGAAAAAGCAATTATATTGTACATTATAAAATATATATATATATATATATATATATATATATATATATATATATATATATATATATATATATATATATAATCCCTCTGTTGAAGACCCCTTTGATGCAGAGAAATGTTCAGTCTGCTTCAGTATACTGACGTTTTATTAATACTTAAATACTATTATTTGGAGTGAAAATAACGATAGACATTTTGTGCAAAAGAACTTGTATACACATTTTTTATTATCATTTTTGAAAAAGCAAATATATTGTACATTATAAAAATATATATATTACAGCTAGAGTAATGTGATTGTAATTTTGATCTTGTAAAAAATATTTAACAATTTATAAAAGTGCACTATACTAATATGTCCTCTGTTTTAATAATTACTTGGTGCAAGTTGTAATGCAGTTATTGTTCTTAAAAATATGGTCCAGTCTTTCATTGAACCAAAAAAAAAAACAGCTACAACAAAATAAGTGCAACAAACAGTCTAAAGCATGTGCCTACCTTTCTAGGTTACAGTCATGTTTAGGAAGTTCAGAATTTCAGGAAACACCACAGTTAGGAAGTCCAGAATGACCCACATCCTGCCTGAAAAAAACTTCTCACTCTCACTATACTGAAAAGAATTGTGTGGGTTCATCCACCTTGTTTTAATTTCAGTAACAAATGAGTCATCGTGTTGAAATAAGCAGGTCCTGGAAAAGCATTCGTGTGGATATATTTGAGGAGGAACATTTAACAGTGCAGTTATGTCCTTGACTTCCCACAGTGAACTAATGTCTTGATAAGATAAGCCATGTTCAGTGGAGCCTTAAGACAAGAAGCCTGAAAGGCACATTAAAAGAGTCTAAAAGTACTGAATATGTCATGTGGGTCCATTAGAATTCAACTTCCTTGGCTATGCGTGGCAGGAGGTTTATTCTAGAGGTCCAGTTTGAGCTTGTCGATGTCGTAGTCATGGTCTTGGTCCAGTTTGGAGAGGGTCTTTCGCACACGCAGAGCAGTGAGTCGAGCTGAAGGGCTTTGGAACCAGCACTCTTTCATAATCTTCGTAACTGCAGACAGGATCTTGACAGAAAAACCCCCAGAAAAAATAGATAATCATTATTTTGTCATTTCTGATGGTCACATGTTTGTCTTGAATATAAGTGCCTGGAGTTCATTTCACATCAATCTACCAAAATAGATACAAAGAGGTGACCCAGATTTCAACTTCAATTCCAAATCAACCAACTTCTCACACAAAACAACAGGATTCTGTGAGAACTGTGTTGATGTGTCATGCTAGCTTTGAAATACGTGTCATATCGGATGTGTATTTCAAAACTGTTAGTTGTTCGCGTTTTTTGGATTTTGAGTAGATACACTGTAGGAAGTGGCAGTCATAAAACAATCTAATATGACAAACAGTTTCAACAAGAGATGTGGACTCAAAGGAAGAATTATTTTCAAGTGCAAAACGCAACAAATTTAGCGACTAGCCTGCAAGTCTGCTACTCTTCACATGGCTGCTGAATAGCTGCTTTTCTTTGTCTTGATTATGGCATTAAGCAGGATCAATGTAAATTTCCATCCATTTTCTATGTTGCATATGCAATAAATATGCTCTCTACAGCAAGCCTAAAATTAAAGCCCACAAGATTCTTTTCAGTGATATCAAAGACTGATAGAATATTTTGTCCCACACACATTTAATGCTTTCCTAACAAATTGCTCCAGATTGCAGCTGTCAAAGCAAAGCCTTGTGTAGATTCTGACTGGAGTCCAAGTCTTCCGAGTCACTGAGTCCGTATTTCTGGCATGTTTGACTATCTTACCGGATGAGAGTGTAGTCGATTGTGGAGACTGGGCCTGTATTGGTCCACACACACCACTTTCTTCATCTCCTCGAAACTGGGGTCAGAGGGCACCACATCAAAGAACGGCGGTCTGTACTCCTCCACAATGCCTGAGAAAACCACAGAATTAAGGGATTTATGTTTTTTTTTTTTACTGACAAAAATGCAGATGTGTGCCGAGACTGAAAGTCTCTTCTGACCATATCTATAAAACAGTGGTTTGGGAGTGTTAAGGTTGGCAGTACTAATACTTCTGTGGGAGGATGACTGGAAATTATCCAGGGAGTCTATGAGCAGCATATGGCAGCTGACATTATGGGGTAAAAAGCTACACTGAGACCATTAAAAAAGCAAATTTTTTTTTTTTTTTTTTTACTTAAAACAGAAGTTCATATAAAGAAGTGTTTTAAAATGCAAATTGGAAGCTTACATATTTACACACTACACTTTAAAAAGTTTGGAGCCTGGTAAGATTTTTTTTTTAATTATAGAAGTTAATTCTTTCATTCAGGAAGGAGGCATTAAATTGATCAAAAGTGACAGAAATTTATAATGTTACAAAAGCT